AAAAGAAAATAAGACCAAAAATCATTTCTCACGACGTTTCGATCGCAACACAAGCGGTCGACCTCAGGCGGAAAAAAAATATCCAGCAGTGGAAGTGCTGAACCAGCTGTGTTGCGATCAAAACGTCGTGATTGATTATTTTTTTTCTAGATTTGAAGTTTTCGTGACTGCAGGGATCCATACTCTTTGGTTCTTTCGGTAAAGTCACGTAGGTGAAAAAATAAGAATAAAAAATATATAGAAATAACTAAATAAAATCACGACGTTTCGGAAGCAACACAAGCTTCCGTCATCAGGCGGGACAACCACAGCAATTTTGTTTATTGAGACAACAATTTTGTTTATTGCTGTGGTTGTCCCACCTGACGACGGAAGCTTGTGTTGCTTCCGAAACGTCGTGATTTAATTTAGTTATTTCTATTTTTTATTTTTATTCTTATGCTTTATTTTTTCACCTACGTGACTTTGCCGAAAGAACCAAAGAGTATATTATATATTTTTTTAATTTTCTTTTTTCTACTTACGTGACTTCACCGAAAGAACCAAAGAGTATGGACCCTTCGTTGATTGTGGCCACGCAGCCCACACGAGTGGACGACAGTGAACCACCGTAGCCTGCGCTCCTGCAACGGAGCAAGAGGAACGGCGACACGCAAACTCTCTCTCTCTGTGTCGTCGGCGTGGCAGGAGACCTCCACATTGCCATCGAGCTCCTGGACGTATTGACGAAGAGCGTGGTCCAAGCTGAATTTAAACAGGTACATCTCATTTCGCTCTCTGATAATAATAAAAAAGGCCATTGGCCTGAAACGTCGCCTCCTATGCGCGTGTGGTTCTGTCTGTGTATTCATTTGTGTAGGGGGCGGTGGTGTAGCGGTTAGCGCGCTGTGCTATGAACCCGTGATCCGGGTTCGATTCCCGCTCAGGGCCAACGCCGGTGACGATTATCTGAACCGGTGCAGAGCCTCCCCTAGGTCGACTCAGCCTCAAATGAGTACCTGGTGCGGTGTGTAAACATCGCCACTGGGGAAACAAAGGCGGTCGGGCGTGGTGCTGGCCACCCACCCCCTCGTGTACCGTTCGGGCCTTCATAGGTGCTCGTTAACAGCACTTGCCCCTATAGTCTATTAAGGCTATACGGGGGATCTTTGTTTTCTTTCTATTTATTTACGTGGGGAGCGGTAGCGTAGCGGTTTATCGCGCCGCGCTACGAACCCGAGTTCGATTCCCGCTCACGGCCAACCCCAGTGATGGATCATCTGAACCGGTCCTGGGGCTCCCCTCGGTAACGACTCGGCCTCGGATGGGACCCGGTGCGGTGAGCAGCCAACGCCGCCACTCGCGAGACGAAGGCGGCCCACGAGCAGCACTTTGTCCCTTACAGCCCCGCTCTATAGGCTACGGCGGGAGACCTTGGTGTCGATGCCCGTGGTGGTGGTGGATCATGTGGTGGTGGTGGTAGTGGTGGTGGTGGTGGTGTGGATCTTGTGGTGGTGGTGGTGGTGTGGATCTTGTGGTGGTGGTGTGGATCTTGTGGTGGTGGTGGTGTGGATCTTGTGGTGGTGGTGTGTATCTTGTGGTGGTGGTGTGGATCTTGTGGTGGTGGTGTGGATCTTGTGGTGGTGGTGTGTATCTTGTGGTGGTGGTGTGGATCTTGTGGTGGTGGTGTGTATCTTGTGGTGGTGGTGTGGATCTTGTGGTGGTGGTGGTGTGGATCTTGTGGTGGTGGTGTGGATCTTGTGGTGGTGGTGTGGATCTTGTGGTGGTGGTGTGTATCTTGTGGTGGTGGTGTGGATCATGTGGTGGTGGTAGTGGTGGTGTGGATCTTGTGGTGGTGGTGTGGATCTTGTGGTGGTGGTGTGGATCATGTGGTGGTGGTGGTGGTGGTGTGGATCTTGTGGTGGTCGTAGTGGTGGTGTGGATCTTGTGGTGGTGTTGGAGTGGATCTTGTGGTGGTGGTGTGGATCTTGTGGTGGTGGCGGAGTGGATCTTGTCCCATCTTGTGCATCACCCCGACCGGCGCACACGGTTAATGTAGAAGTTCGGCACCGGCTCTCTCTCTCTGTTGTGTCACTCGTCACCCGCGGCGTGTTCACAAAGAATCACGGAGTTAAAACAATGGTAACGCTAGATTCATCTATACACGCGCGCACACACACACGCGCGCGCGTGTTTATATATAGATGTTTGTAATGAACGGGACACGTACGGGAGGAGACGGAGTGATCTTATCGTGCCGGTGGCTGGGTGGATTGTTACCATCGCGGGGTCGTGAGAGGCGGCGCCTTGGGTGAGGCATTCATCCAGCGGTGGATTGACCATGGCGATGATGATTTTATATTAAGAAGTACTGTACACACGACCATACTGGTAATTGCAGTAACAGGGTTACAATTCCGGGTTAAGCGATCGACTGCCCATCATCTCTCTCAGGTCGATAAATAGTACCAATAAATGTTACCCATAAATAGTAGCGATTTGTGGGAAGTCAACAGTGGGTGTTCCATGGATATGTTCTCTCCGATCGATCAATAGTACCAATAAATAGTACCGATAAATAGTACCGATAAATAGTACCGATAAATAGTACCGATTTGTGGAATGTCAACAGTGGGTGTTCCATGGATAGATTCGCCCAAACCATATGGAATGTGGAATTTCCACCACGCTTAGTTTGAAAGGGAGACTGAGTTTTCGGAGTGTGATAGTGATGGCGACGATGGTGATGACGGTGGTAATGGTGGTGGTGATAGTGGTGGTGATGGTGATAGTGGTGGTGGTGAAGGTCGGTGCTGAGAGTGAACATTGACGGAGAGTGGTACACGACAATCTGTGTGTGTGTGGTGCAGTGCACACTCTACACACGTATACAAGCGTGTGAACACGTGACTACAGGTGTGTACGCGTACACACACACACACGTGTGAGCACTCGATCATACAACAAGGTGTTTCCATGTACACGTGGCCATACACAGGTGCGAGTACACGTGGCACAGCCGTGAGTACACGTGACCGTAGAGGCGTGTATCCGCAGCAGTCGCGCTCACGAACGCGACTACTGTCGCGACCGTTCGCGTCTTCGCGCGCGGGGATCGCGAACAGACGCGCCAAGGACCCCTCCCCCCACTCCCACGTGCTCCAAGGGCCCCCCTCCCTCGTCTAGAACCCCCCCCCTCCTCGCCCATGAGTCCCTTGGGCCCCCCTGTACCCCTCCTCGCTCTCTCCCCTTCCCCTCTGACCCCGAACCTTCGCTGCTGTCGCGATATTTCGTTCAGCGTTCGCGACGTGCCGAACGCTGCGCAGCCGCGTCGCGTTCCGTTCGCGACATCCCCCCCCCACTGCTATCATCCCATCCAACCATGCCTGAGATGGAGCGAGGGGGGGTGGGCGCTACCCCCCCCCCGTACCCCCTCTGCCCCCCACCACCACAGACTTGCCATACTCGTGTTCAATATAGATCTCGTATATTTAGAAAACGGCCGCGGTAAATTACAGAATGATTAGTATTAGTCAGTGGGTACCACTTATTGCACAAAACATCCGGACAGAGAACAGTGGAGCATGCAGAGAGGAGGGGGAAGGGGTTGGGGGGTACGGGCCGGTTTTGGGGGGCTTAGGGGGGCCCGGCATGCAGTGAGGGGGGGGGGGGAAGAGGGAATGGGGGGCTGGTTCGTTCACTGCCGCTACCATCGACTCCACCATCACCACGAACCTTATGAGCGAGTTTCACTGATAGCAACGTCAACCTCACCGAGTCGACTGCTTCCAGCAACCTCCGTGCCATCATCATCATCACCATCCTCCTCGTCCTCCAGTGCCATCAGCTGGCAAGGCCATTGCCACGTCAAGCTGTCAGCCTGGACCCCGTCAGCCTCATCATCACCGCACACATCGCAAGCACCACCGTCACGGCCACCAGCATCACCACCGCTGCTGTCATCATCACCTCTCATCGTCCACGTCGTCGCCGCCAAGAACAGACACGACCACCAACGCAATCACAAGCATCGTGAACCTATTCAGCATCACCACCATCACCACCACCACCATCACCACCATCATCATCAGTAAGCCCAACGCACGAGAGACGCAATCAACTCGACAATCAACACCGCCGCCAACAATAGCGGAGCCAGGACTTTCAGATAGGGGGGGGGGCAACCCCTCCAGGAATGAAACATGATAGAGAAGTTGTTAGTAAGTGAGGAGTTGTTAGTAAGTGAGGAGTTGTTAGTAAGTCAGGACTTGTCCCTTTCTTTCTATTCGACGCGTGTGCGGCGATGGCGCAGCCATCGATCGAGGGTCGAATTCGAACCGCGTTGTGTGATCGGCATCGCGCTCGCTGAAGGTGTTGATGCCTTCAGGGAAGTCGTGGACTGGACACGCAACTGCGCACAATTCTGTGTTACTGCTTTGCCGTTACTTATCGCCAATTATGGATCGAACTATTGTCCTATCATCTCATAGAGTCCCTGGCACGTAATAATATGCTACACAGTGGCAGTGGGGGTCGCAAAATGCCGATTGATTACTAATAAACCCCAAAGACCCGATCGAAATGAGGGAGTTCGATCGGATCATTGGGGGGCACGTGTCACCCCCCCCCTCCACCCCCCACTGGCTCCGCCAGTGTTCGCCAACGTAACCACAGTCATCGCAATCGCCGTAAATTCAACCAAAACCGATAACGGTTACCAATCGCCAATCACCAACACCAATTATCACCGCAATTCCTTAACCAACGCAATCACAATCATCATAGCCACCGTCAGATAGATCGCACCATCAGCAATATCAACGATGGAATCACGACCGCGACTATGAACACCACCACCACCACCATCAATGTCACATCCATGAACTTAATCACTCACCAATACCTCCACAATCCTCTTAACCGCAACCACCACCACCACCAACATAAACTCGGCAAATCACCACCACCACCACGGTCACCACCACCACGGTCACCACCTGCATCAACTCCACTCGCCATCGACCAGCGCCGCCCTTCTCGCGCCGTCCCTCCAACCCCGCGCCGCGAGCCTCTCTCGCCGTGCGACGACGGGAGTCGCCGTGGGAGCGCGGTGGAGGGAGTCGGGTTACCTTGTGCCATCATCACCAAATGTCAACGTGGGCGAAGCCCCCGGGGCGCCGCCGCCACCGCCCCCCCTGCCCCCAGGGCACGGCGCCCACTCAGTGCGACGCGGCGAACTTCATTCGCTTCTGCTTCTGTCTCTGGTTGCAGAACCACACGCGCACCACGTTCTTCTTGAGGTCCAGCTTCTCGGCGATGGCCGCGATCTTCTCGGACGAGGGCCGCGGCTGCACGGCGAAGTAGGCCTCCAGGGAGCGTCGCTCGGGCCCCGCGATGGCCGTGCGCTTGCGCCTCCGCTCGCCGCCGCCGCTGCCGCTGAACAGCTCAGGCTTGAGCTGACGGCCGCGCGCCGCCTTCTCGGCCTCCTCGAGCCACGCCTGCAGGATGGGCTTGAGCGCGATCATGTTGTTGTGCGACAGCGTGAGCGACTCGAAGCGACAGATGGTGCTCTGGCTCAACGAGCCCACGCCCGGGATCTTGAGGTTGCCCAGCGCCGAGCCCACGTCGGCCTGCGTCACGCCTAGCTTGATGCGCCGCTGCTTGAAGCGCTCCGCGAACGCCTCCAGCTCGCGCGGGTCCGTGTCGATGTCGCCCATGCCTCCCCCCATGCCCCCGTGGTGGGGGCCCATCCCGTGCGGGACCCCCAGTCCCATGGCCGCCGGGTGCATGTGGCCCATCCCGGGGATGTGCGCCGCCGCCGCCGCTGCGGCCGCTGCAGCTGCGGCCGCAGCGGCGGCGGCGGCCGCAGCCGAGTCGGCACCTCCGATGCCGCCGGAGAGAGAGGAGAGTCCGTGCGGGAGGTGGTCCAGGAGGTCCCCGTCCAGGGCCTGGTGGCCGTGGTGGTGGTGGTGATGGTGGTGGTGGTGCGAGCCCAGCACGGAGCCGTGCGCGGAGGAGGAGGAGGCGGAGCACGGCACCGCGGTGTTCATCACGGCGGCGCTGAACGCGGCGGCGGCTGCGGCGGAGTCGCCCTTGAAGGCGGGGAGCAGGTGGTGATGGTGTTGCTGCTGATGATGATGCTGCTGCTGCTGATGGTGCTGATGATGATGCTGATGATGATGATGCGGGTGCTGCTGCTGCTGCCTCTTGCCGACCGCGGCTGCTGCTGCTGAGTCGGCGGCTGCGAGAAGCGCGTTTCCCTCCAGGCCAGCCAGGATCTCGCCCTGGAGCTGCAAATAAACAGCCGCGCTCGACTCTGCGGGGAATTGGGTGGAGTGGCGGCGCCCTGCCCGCTCCGCGCCACTCCGACACGCGGAGAGGAAGAGGCCTCCTCCTCCTCGCCTCCTCCTCTCCTCCACCTCCTCCTCCTCCTCCTTCTCCACCTCCTCCTCCTCCTTCTCATGAAAATTGGAGCGAGGCCACGCGGGACTCGAACGCGCGTGTCCGCGACCGCCGCCAACACGGAAACAACATTAGCGCGCGTGCGTGCGCGCGTGCATCTACACGTGTGCGTGTGTGCGTGAGTCTACACGTGTGTGTGTGTGCGTGAGTCTACACGTGTGTGTGTGCGTGTGTCTACAGGTGTGTGTGTCTACAGGTGTGTGTGTGTGCGTGAGTCTACACGTGTGTATGTGCGTGTGTCTACAGGTGTGTGTGTCTACAGGTGTGTGTGTGTGCGTGAGTCTACACGTGTGTATGTGCGTGTGTCTACAGGTGTGTGTGTCTACAGGTGTGTGTGTGTGCGTGAGTCTACACGTGTGTATGTGCGTGTGTCTACAGGTGTGTGTATGTGTCTACACGTGTGTGTGTCTACACGTGTGTGTGTCTACACTGTGTGTGTGTCTACACTGTGTGTGTGTGTCTACAGGTGTGTGTGTGTCTACACTGTGTGTGTGTCTACACTGTGTGTGTGTCTACAGGTGTGTGTGTGTGTCTACAGGTGTGTGTGTGTGTCTACACTGTGTGTGTGTGTCTACACTGTGTGTGTGTGTCTACACGTGTGTGTGTGTGTCTACACGTGCGTGTGGGGAACGGCGGCGCAGTGATTAGTGCACTGCGCTACGATCACGGCGACTTGAGTTCGATTCTCGCTCGCGACCAATAACAGTGGCGAATATGTGAACCGTTCTTGGGTCTCCCCTAGGTCGGCTCGGCCTTAAAATGAACACCAGCTGTTGTGCGTAAATATCAGCACTGCGGAGACAAATGTGGCCGGGCCTCGTTCTCGTCAACACCACATCCTTGTGCGCCGTTCTGGCCTTAATAGGTGCTCCCTAACACTTGCTCAGTCTTTTAAAAAATATATATTGGGGGGTCGGAGGGGGGTATCTTTGTCTCTATGTGCGTGCGCCGCGCCTGTGTGGATGTCTGGGGGAGCGGTGGTGGGTCCGTGAGCGCACCGCGCTACGATCCCGGCGTCCCGAGTTCCATTTCCGCTCACGGCTACCAACAGCGGCGACGATTGTCTGAACCGGTCCCTGGGTCGACTCGACCGGTCCCTGGGTCGACTAGACCGGTCCATGGGTCGACTCGACCGGTCCATGGGTCGACTCGGCCAGGTGCGATGCCTTCACGTCGCCACTCGAGAGACAAAGGCGGTCGCGCGTGGCACTGGCCACCCGTGTGCCGTGCCGGCGTTTCAGAGGTGCTCGCTAATAGCGCTTGTCCCAACAGTCTGTTAAGGCTACACGAGGGCATCCTGTTGTACACACGTGTGAGTGTGAGTACACGTGTGAGTGTGAGCACGTGTGAGTACACGTGTGAGTGTGAGTACGTGTGTGTGAGTACGTGTGTGTGAGTACACGTGCGAGTGTGAGTACACGTGCGAGTACGTGTGTGAGTACGCGTGCGAGTGTGAGCACGAGTGTGAGTACACGTGTGAGTGTGAGTACACGTGTGAGTGCCCTTTTGCGTACTTTCCGAAGCGTGGTTGCGTTGCACGAGAGTGAACACCTGTGTGTGTACTTGTGTCGTGTGTGCTGTGTGTGTGTACGTGTGTGTACTTGTGTCGTGTGTGTGCTGTGTGTGTGCTGTGTGTGTACTTGTGTCGTGTGTGCTGTGTGTGTGTACGTGTGTGTACTTGTGTCGTGTGTGCTGTGTGTGTGTGTGTACGTCTGTGTACCTGTGTGTGTACTTGTGTCGTGTGTGCTGTGTGTGTGTACGTGTGTGTACTTGTGTCGTGTGTGTACTTGTGTCGTGTGTGCTGTGTGTGTGTGTACGTGTGTGTACTTGTGTCGTGTGTGCTGTGTGTGTGTACGTGTGTGTACTTGTGTTGTGTGTGCTGTGTGTGTGTACGTGTGTGTACTTGTGTCGTGTGTGCTGTGTGTGTGTGTGCTGTGTGTGTACTTGTATCGTGTGTGCTGTGTGTGTACGTGTGTGTACTTGTGTCGTGTGTACTTGTGTCGTGTGTGCTGTGTGTGTGTGTACGTGTGTGTACTTGTGTCGTGTGTGTACTTGTGTCGTGTGTGCTGTGTGTGTACGTGTGTGTACTTGTGTCGTGTGTGCTGTGTGTGTGTACGTGTGTGTACTTGTGTCGTGTGTGTACTTGTGTGGTGTGTGCTGGGTGTGTGTGTACGTGTGTGTACTTGTGTCGTGTGTGCTGTGTGTGTGTACGTGTGTGTACTTGTGTTGTGTGTGCTGTGTGTGTGTACGTGTGTGTACTTGTGTCGTGTGTGCTGTGTGTGTGTGTGTGCTGTGTGTGTACTTGTATCGTGTGTGCTGTGTGTGTACGTGTGTGTACTTGTGTCGTGTGTGCTGTGTGTGTTCTTCTAAAGTGTCGTGTGTGCTGTGTGTGTGTGTACGTGTGTGTACTTGTGTCGTGTGTGTACTTGTGTCGTGTGTGCTGTGTGTGTACGTGTGTGTACTTGTGTCGTGTGTGCTGTGTGTGTGTACGTGTGTGTACTTGTGTCGTGTGTGCTGTGTGTACGTGTGTGTACGTGTGTGTACTTGTGTCGTGTGTGCTGTGTGTGTGTGTACGTGTGTGTACTTGTGTCGTGTGTGCTGTGTGTGTGTACGTGTGTGTACTTGTGTCGTGTGTGCTGTGTGTGTGTGTACGTGTGTGTACTTGTGTCGTGTGTGCTGTGTGTGTGTGTGTACGTGTGTGTACTTTTGTCGTGTGTGCTGTGTGTGTGTACGTGTGTGTACTTGTGTCGTGTGTGCTGTGTGTGTGTGTACGTGTGTGTACTTGTGTCGTGTGTGCTGTGTGTGTGTGTGTACGTGTGTGTAGTTGTGTCGTGTGTGCTGTGTGTGTACGTGTGTGTACTTGTGTCGTGTGTGCTGTGTGTGTACGTGTGTGTACTTGTGTCGTGTGTGCTGTGTGTGTGTACGTGTGTGTACTTGTGTCGTGTGTGCTGTGTGTGTGTGTACGTGTGTGTACTTGTGTCGCGTGTGCTGTGTGTGTGTACGTGTGTGTACTTGTGTCGTGTGTGCTGTGTGTGTACGTGTGTGTACTTGTGTCGCGTGTGCTGTGTGTGTGTGTACTTGTGTCGTGTGTGCTGTGTATGTGTACGTGTGTGTACTTGTGTCGTGTGTGCTGTGTGTGTGTGTACGTGTGTGTACTTCTGTTAAGGCTATACGGGGGATCTTTGTCTTTGTACTTGTGTCGTGTGTGCTGTGTGTGTGTACGTGTGTGTACTTGTGTCGTGTGTGCTGTGTGTGTACGTGTGTGTACGTGTGTGTACTTGTGTCGTGGGAAGCGGGTGTGTAGCGATTAGCGCACTGCGCTACAAACCCGGAGCCGAGTTCGATTCCCGCTCACGGCCAACACCGTGTTTTATATTTATTATTTTATTATTTCCCTTCTACGTGACTTTACCGAAAGAACCAAGAAGATGAATCCCTGCAGTCACGAAAGCTTTAAATCGAAATTTTACCGCCAGTGACGATTATCTGAACCGGTCCTGGGCCTCCCCTAGGTCGACTCAGCCTGAAATGAGTACCCGGTGCGGTGTGTAAACATCGCCACTGGGGAGACAAAGGCGGTCGGGCGTGGTGTTGGCCATCCACCCCCTCGTGTACCGTTCCCGCCTTCATAGGTGCTCGCTAACAGCACTTACAGTCTGTTAAGGCTATACGGGGGATCTTTGTCTTTGTACTTGTGTCGTATGTGCGTGATTGCATACATCACTTTCGTATTTGGGTTGTCGAGTGCTTGCGTGCACGTGAGTGTGCGTGTGAGTGAGTGTACGTGTGCGTGTGCGTGAGTGAGAGTGCGTGTGCGTGAGTGTACGTGTCCGTCTGTTACTGCGTGAGTGTGCGTAAGTGTGTGTGTGTGTGCGCTCCTTCGTGAGGGTGCGTGTGAGTGTGTGTGTTTCTAAGTGAGTGTGTGTGTGAGAGAGAGTGGCCGTGCGCGCGTGTACGTGACGTGTACGCTGCGCGAGAGTGCCCGTGCTAGAGCGTGGTGCGTGGGGATTCTGCGCGAATCTGCACGAGTGTGCGAGCATGCACGCAGGGGCGTGCGTGAGAGTCTGTAAGAGTGTGTGTGTGTGAGAGTCTGTGTGTGTGTGAGTCTGTGTGTGTGTGAGTCTGTGTGTGTGAGAGTCTGTAAGAGTGTGAGTGTGTGTGTGTGAGTGTCTGTGTGTGGGTGAGTCTGTGTGTGTGGGAGTGTGTGTGTGTGTGAGTGTGTGTGTGTGGGTGTCTGTGTGTGTCTGAGTCTGGGTGTGTGTGAGAGTCTGTGTGTGTGTGAGAGAGTCTGTGTGTGTGTGAGTATGTGTGTGTGTGTGAGTCTGTGTGTGTGAGAGTCTGTGTGTGTGTGTGAGTCTGTGTGTGTGAGTCTGTGTGTGTGAGTGAGAGTCTGTGTGTGTGAGTGAGAGTCTGTGTCTGTGTGAGTCTGTGTGTGTGAGTGCGAGTCTGTGTGTGTGTGAGTCTGTGTGTGTGAGTCTGTGTGTGTGAGTCTGTGTGTGTGAGTGAAAGTCTGGGTGTGTGTGAGTCTGTGGGTCTGTGAGTATGTGTGGGTGTGAGTCTGTGTGTGTGTAAGTCTGTGTGTGTGTGAGTCTGTGTGTGTGAGTGAGAGTCTGTGTGTGTGTGAGTCTGTGAGTCTGTGTGGGTGTGAGTCTGTGTGTGTGTAAGTCTGTGTGTGTGAGTCTGTGTGTGTGAGAGTCTTTGTGTGTGAGTCTCTGTGTGTGTGAGTCTGTGTGTGTGTGAGTCTGTGTGTGTGTCTGTGTGTGAGTCTGTGTGTGTGAGAGTCTGTGTGTGTGTGAGTCTGTGTGTGTGAGTCTGTGTGTGAGTCTGTGTGCGTGAGTCTGTGTGTGTGTGTGTGAGTGAGAGTCTGTGTGTGTGTGAGTCTCTGTGTGTGTGAATCTGTGTGTGTGAGTCTGTGTGTGTGAGAGTCTGTGTGTGTGTGAGTCTGTATGTGTGAGAGTCTGTGTGTGTGTGAAAGTTTGTGTGTGTGAAAGTCTGTGTGTGAGAGTTTGTGTGTGTGTGTGAGTCTGTGTGTGTGAGGATGTGTGTGTGTGCGCGTGTTGTTGGAAATGCCGTGAGATGAGTGTTGGCCAGTGTGTGGGACAGGAGTGAGTGAGTGAGACGGGAGTGAGTGAGTGAGTGAGACGGGAGTGAGTGAGTGGGTGAATGAGTGAGTGAGACGGGAGTGAGTGAGTGGGTGAGTGAGTGAGTGAGTGGTGAGTGAGTGAGTGAGACGAGAGTGAGTGAGTGAGACGGGAGTGAGTGAGCGAGTGAGTGGTGAGTGAGTGAATGAGACGGGAGTGAGTGAGTGAGACGGGAGTGAGTGAGTGAGTGAGACGGGAGTGAGTGAGTGGGTGAGTGAGTGAGACGGGAGTGAGTGAGTGGGTGAGTGAGTGAGTGAGTGGTGAGTGAGTGAGTGAGACGAGAGTGAGTGAGTGAGACGGGAGTGAGTGAGCGAGTGAGTGGTGAGTGAGTGAATGAGACGGGAGTGAGTGAGTGAGACGGGAGTGAGTGAGTGAGTGAGACGGGAGTGAGTGAGTGGGGTGAGTGAGTGAGACGGGAGTGAGTGAGTGGGTGAGTGAGTGAGTGAGTGGTGAGTGAGTGAGTGAGACGAGAGTGAGTGAGTGAGACGGGAGTGAGTGAGCGAGTGAGTGGTGAGTGAGTGAATGAGACGGGAGTGAGTGAGTGAGTGGTGAGTGAGTGAGTGAGACGAGAGTGAGTGAGTGAGACGGGAGTGAGTGAGCGAGTGAGTGGGTGAGTGAGTGAGTGAGACGGGAGTGAGTGAGTGAGACGGGAGTGGGTGAGTGAGTGAGTGAGTGGGTGAGACGGGAGTGGGTGAGTGAGTGAGACGGGAGTGGGTGAGTGAGTGGGTGAGTGAGTGACTGAGACGGGAGTGAGTGAGTGAGTGAGACGGGAGTGAGTGAGTGGTGAGTGAGTGGGTGAGACGAGAGTGAGTGAGTGAGTGAGACGGGAGTGGGTGAGTGAGTGAGACGGGAGTGGGTGAGTGAGTGGGTGAGTGAGTGAGTGAGACGGGAGTGAGTGAGTGAGACGGGAGTGGGTGAGTGAGTGAGTGAGTGGGTGAGACGAGAGTGAGTGAGTGAGTGAGACTGGAGTGGGTGAGTGAGTGAGACGGGAGTGGGTGAGTGAGTGGGTGAGTGAGTGGGTGAGTGAGTGAGTGAGACGGGAGTGAGTGAGTGAGACGGGAGTGAGTGAGACAGGAGTGAGGGAGTGGGTGAGTGAGTGGGTGAGTGGGTGAGTGAGTGAGACGGGAGTGCGTGAGTGGGTGAGTGGGTGGGTGAGTGGGTGGGTGAGTGAGACGGGAGTGAGTGAGTGGGTGAGTGAGTGAGTGGGTGAGTGAGTGAAACGGGAGTGAGTGAGTGAGACGGGAGTGAGTGAGTGAGTGAGACAGGAGTGAGTGGGTGAGTGAGTGAGACAGGAGTGAGTGAGTGGGTGAGTGGGTGAGTGAGTGAGACGGGAGTGAGTGGGTGAGTGAGACGGGAGTGAGTGAGTGAGACGGGGGTGAGTGGGTGAGTGAGTGAGACGGGAGTGAGTGGGTGAGTGAGACGGGAGTGAGTGAGTGAGACGGGAGTGAGTGAGTGAGTGGGTGAGTGAGATGGGAGTGAGTGAGTGAGTGAGTGGGTGAGTGAGACGGGAGTGAGTGAGTGAGTGAGACGGGGGTGAGTGGGTGAGTGAGTGAGACGGGAGTGAGTGGGTGAGTGAGACGGGAGTGAGTGAGTGAGACGGGAGTGAGTGAGTGGGTGAGTGAGATGGGAGTGAGTGAGTGAGTGAGACGGGAGTGAGTGAGTGAGTGAGATGGGAGTGAGTGAGTGAGACGGGGGTGAGTGAGTGAGACGGGAGTGGGTGAGTGGGTGAATGGGTGAGTGAGTGGGTAAGTGGGTGAGTGAGTGAGTGGGTGAGTGGGTGAGTGAGACGCGAGTGAGTGAGTGGGTGAATGAGACGGGAGTGAGTGGGTGTGTGGATGAGTGAGTGAAACGGGAGTGAGTGAGTGAGACGTGGGTGGGTGAGTGAATGGGTGAGTGAGACGCGAGTGGGTGAGTGGGTGAGTGAGCGCGTGCATGCGCCGGGCTCACGTACGGCGCTGTGAGCGATGCAGGCGCGGCGCAGGGCGTCGCTCCCCGCAGGCAGGGCGCCCTGCAGGCTGAAGCCGCCCTGCTTAGCGGACACCGCGCTCATGGACAGCATCGCGCAGAGTGGCGAGGACGAGAGGCTCGCGGGCTGGGAGCGCGGAGCCAGCCCCTCCCCTGCATCCCCCCTCACCCCCCACAAATCATCACCCCCCCCCCCCCAAATCTCACCTGACTGGGGGCCAAGTCTCGCGAGACGGGGCAGGGAGCGCGGGGAGCAGAGGGAGGAGACGCGGAGCTGGGAACAGGAGGGGATGAATGCAGAGGTGGAGGAGCGAGCGAGACGGGTGGATTTGATGATGCAAGGACGGGGGACGAGGGATGAAAGGGGGGGTGCAGAGATGGAGGATTTGGGATTCGTGGTTATAGGATGGATCAAGGGGTGGAGGCGATGGATGGAAGGAGGGGTGGGATGATGGAGGGAATGGATGCGTTCAGGAGGAGAGATGGAGGCAGTGGGGGGGGGGGGGGTGATCTTCGCGGCTGAGCATGGGGAAGTATTGCAGGAGGGGGATTGAGGCGAGGGGAACAGAGCGAAGGCCGTGACAGAAGCCGGGTTGGGATCGCCGGGTTCCTGGAGTTCGAGATTCCCACCGCCAGCGAGTTCGCGAGAGGGCCACGTGATGGTCTGATCCCCAACGACTCACAGACCGATCGGTTCTCACAGAGACTCGCACAGAGGCCCATAGACCTTAACAGAGACTCACATAGAAGCCCATAGAATTAGACTCGCACACAGGCCCATAGACCTAAACAGAGACTCACATAGAAGCCCATAGAATTACAGACTCGCACAGAGACGCATAGACCTAAACACTCACATAGAAGCCCATAGAATTACAGACTCGCACAGAGGCCCATAGACCTAAACAGAGACCTCACATAGAAGCCCATAGAATTACAGACTCGCACAGAGACCCATAGACTTAAACAGACTCACAGAGACCTACACAAACACGACCATAAAAACCGAGACTTGCAAAAACCCAAAACCTTTATTGCGGTCGCGAAAGCCGACGTGTTAAACAGACGCACACAGACTTACGGAGAAACACTCTCTCATAGAGACCCACAGACTCGCACGGGCCCCGAGTCGCGAGGAAATTGCCTTCTCGAGTGCAGCGAGCCAGTGATGGTGTTAGCCCGGTCACTAATGGCTCCGCACAGAAACCCCGGCACATTAGACTCGGTTCCTCATTTTATTTGGCAAAACTCCAGCTCTGATAACGCGGTTTCCATCGACGCGCCACGCTCTCTCCGCCACCACGCGCTCTCAGCAGGCCGCGACCTCTCTCCCCCGCGGCGTCTCCGCTACAAGGTGGTGCACTGCTGCCTGCTTGACCCCTCGGTCACGTGAGACAGCGCGGCGGCACCGGCCACGTGAGAGGACCATCGCCACGGCAACATCGCCACGGCAACATCGCCACGGCAACATCACCACGGCAACATCACTATGACATCACCACAGCAACATCGCAACCAACATCACGATAGCCAAATCGGCATGGCAAGATCAACGTAGCAACACTGCCACCAACATCACCATAGGAAAAATTGCTACATCACCAGAGCAACATCACCATCAACATCACCATGTCAACATCACTACCCACATCATCCCAGTAACATATCTACATCACCACTAAATGTAACCGTTATTCACAATACAGTATATCGTGTGTGTGTGTGAACGTGAGAGTGTGTGTCGATGTCTTTCTCGAGGTGAACGAAGAGCGAAGGCGCAGTGGTTCGCGCAACGCACTACGAACCCGGAGAGTCAAGTTCGATTCTCGGCCACGGTCAACAAACGAGGAACTGGCGCTGCGCGGAAACCTCAGCACTGGGAAGACAAAGGCTGACGGGCTGGCGAGGGCCACACCTCCCCGTAGTGCCGCCCTTAATAGGTGCTCGCTAACGGCCCTTGCTGTGGAGGCTACATGGGGTGCCTTTGTCTTTGCGTGAGCTCCCCCCGCGCCCTCTCCGTCAGTCCTCGGCTCTCGTTCGCTTCGGCGGCAGCGGGGAGCCCGGCGCGCCCCCACCACCCCCTTCTTCTCTGTCGCCCTGGGGGGGGCCGTGACACGGCTCGGGCGGGGGGGGCACCCCCACGGACAGGATCGGCCCCCCCGCACCCCCGCCCCCCCCCTGCAGTGCGCCACTCTCCACCGGTGGCGGTGGCGGCGAGGTGACGGCGGTGGCGGCGACGTCGAACGCGAGCCTACGCACCGTGCCACCGCCGGGCGCCCCCCGCCACGGAGGGCCGGCGGCGGTTTCCTCGCGCCCCTCCCGGGGATCCCCCACGACCCCCGCGACCCCAGCGACCCCCGCGACCCCAGCGGCCCCCGCGACCCCCGCGACCCCAGCGGCCCCCGCGACCCCAGCGAGCCGGGCTTCCAGCTCGTCGGTGTAGCGGTCGCTGCGCTCCAGGGCCTTGCCCAGGCGGCCGAGTTCACGCCGCTGCTGCTCCAGCTTGGCCTGCAGCGCGGCGACGGTGGCGCGGCCGAACCTTGCGTGGGGACGCGGAGAGAGAGAGAAACCAAGTTAGAGAAGTTGCAGGGAGAGAGGGAGAGAGAGGGACGGCGCATTGAGCGTGGGGAGGCACCCCGGCGTGGCACGCAGCGAGGACTCCGTGCCGGGCACAGAGCCGTCGCTCCGAAGACGGCACCGCCAGAGATGCCCTCGATTCGCAATCGAGTTTTTGATTCAGCCACCTAACGATCTGGGCCAAATTTGTGTCGTCAAGACCCTCCACCGGCCGACACGGCCGAGCAAATAAAATTTTGGCTCCGGGTGGTATCGGCCCGCGGTGAGATGAACGCCGTCTAACCGAGCGGCGTCTTCAGGTCTCAGGGAGTCAGAATAACTGCGTCGCCGCCACACTCACGGTCCACGACACCGGGCTGCGGAATCCTGGGTGCCGTCTCCCGCGCACGGTCCGGCCCCCCTCATCCACATCATCGCTCCAGGGCCCACGTGGTGCGTGCCACTTTGTGGTCAAGTCAACAGTGGCCATCCTCTGGAGAGACTCGCCACCACCACAGGAACGCCGAATTTCCACCCCTGGTTCGGCGGGGGCCGACGAGTCCCGATGCCCCGTGCACGGCTCGTTTGTGCAGCAGGAGGCCGTCGTGGCTCGACGCGGCGCTGGGGTCGCGACCTGTGCGGGGAGCGGCTGTCGATCTCCATGCGCAGGCTCTGGTTCTCGCGCTGCAGGTCGACGTTCTCCTCCCGCAGCTGCGCGTGCACCTAGCACGGCACGGGGCACACGCACGCAGAGGCTGTCACATGCACGCGCGTGCACGCACGCACACACACACGGGTGCCTGGAAACGCACGCATGCTCTCATGCGGAGTGTGAGAGGTGAGGGAGCAACAGGTGAGGGAGCCACAGGTGTGAGCCGCTGGTGAGAGGATGGCAGTAGAGACGCGTGCGCGTAATCGACCGAAGAGGCTGATGGAGGGCAATGACGGCTCTCCAACCCCCTCCACCCCCTCCCATCACAGCAGCTCCCGGTGATCAAGGTAATTTGTGAGTGCATCTGATCCCCTGTGCCGCCCTCCACCACGAACCCCCCCACCCCACCGCGTCGCAGTGAATTCCCACACTCGGCGCTCGCTTCGGGGCATCCGCCAAGGGGTGAGAGGGGTTCATTAGCGGCGTCGTCGCCCTCTCCCAGAGCGGAGAGATGTGTAACCCGGAGTGGATCTGCGTGCAACGGACCGGAGCATCTTGATCTCCCGGAGCGGGGGATGCGCAATGGCGGAGCCAGAATTTTCAGGTAGGGGGGGGCAACCCTTCCAGCAATACACTTTTTTGGGAGTTATTAATGAGTAAGGATTTGTCCCTTGCTTTTTATTCGACGCGTGTGCAGCGATGGCGCAGCCATCGATCGAGGGTCGAATTCGAACCGCGTTGTGTGATCGGCATCGCGCTCGCTGAAGGTGAATGTCTTCAGGGAAGTCGAGGACTCTGTATACGCAACTGCGCACAATTATGTGAGTCACTTATAACCGCTTTGCCGTTACTTATGGACTCAATTATGGACTCAGACTATTGTCCTATCATCTCATAGAGTCCCTGGCACGTGATAATATGCTACACAGAATGCTGATTTATTACCAATAAACCCCAATGATCCAATCGAAATTAGGGATTTCGAGTCGGATCATTGGGGGGGCACGTGCCACCCCACCCCCCCACTGACGGTGATGCGTAACCCCCGAGCTTGTCACCGCAGATGCCAAAGCGGACCGTCACGTGACGGTAGCAGACCGCCGAGTTGCCCTCACCTCGCGCTCCCTGCTCATCTCGTTTCTCGTCGCTCGGAGCTCATCGCGCGCCGCCTTCAGCTTCCCCGAGAGCGCGAGTAGCACCGCCGGGTCGACCTCCGACCCCGCGGGCCGGCCGTCGACCTCCGACCCCGCGGGCTCGCCCGGATTCGCACGCAGCTGGGCCCAGAGAGCGTTGTTCTCTCCCTGCAGCCGCTCCACCTCCACCGCCAGCGTCTCCGCCTCCTCCTGGGAGTGAAGGGGACACGGGGGTGAGGGCGAGGTAGCAACGTGACCTGGTGCGTCGGGCGCAGAGTGTCCGTCACGGTGTGTCTGTGACTGTGTATCCGCGACACGGTGTGTCTGTGACGGTGTATCCGCGACACGCTGTGTCTGTGACGGTGTTTCCGTGACGGTGTGTCCATGACGGCAAGTCCGTGACGACGTGTCCGTGACGGTGTTTCCGTGACGGCGTGTCCGTGACGGTGTTTCCGTGACGGTGTGTCTGTGACGGTGTTTCCGTGACGGCGTGTCCGTGACGGTGTTTCCGTGACGGCGTGTCCGTGACGGTGTTTCCGTGACGGCGTGTCCGTGACGGTGTTTCCGTGACGGTGTGTCTGTGACGGTGTTTCCGTGACGGTGTGTCTGTGACGGTGTTTCCGTGACGGTGTGTCCGTGACGGTGTGTCCGTGACGGTCTGTCCGTGACGGTGTGTCCGTGACGGCGTGTCCGTGACGGTGTTTCCGTGACGGCGTGTCCGTGACGGCGTTTCCGTGACGGTGTGTCTGTGACGGTGTTTCCGTGACGGTGTGTCTGTGACGGTGTTTCCGTGACGGTGTGTCCGTGACGGTGTGTCCGTGACGGTGTGTCCGTGACGGTGTGTCCGTGACGGTCTGTCCGTGACGGCGTGTCCGTGACGGCGTGTCCGTGACGGCGTGTCCGTGACGCCGCGTCTACACGACCGAGCGATCGTTAAAGATATCCGTCACGAGTCCACCGCTGAAGCCGTTCACCGGCTCGCTCCCCGGCCTCCACGCAGGAGCTCTCGACCTCCGCATCTCGACGCACCTCGTACTCTCTCCGCAGCACCTCCAGCCGCGCCGATCTCAACCGCCTCCGCTGTGTGGGGCTCCCAGGAGCGTGCGGGACGTCGCCCCCACCTGGGCGGGGAGGGGGAGGGAGGCAGTGCAGGGTTAGGGGCTAGGGTTGAGATGGAGCAGGTTAGGGGCTAGGGTTGAGATGGAGCAGGCTAGGGGCTAGGGTTGAGATGGAGCAGGTTAGGGGCTAGGGTTGAGGTGGAGCAGGCTAGGGGCTAGGGTTGAGATGGAGCAGGTTAGGGGCTAGGGTTGAGATGGAGCAGGTTAGGGGCTAGGGTTGAGATGGAGCAGGTTAGGGGCTAGGGTTGAGATGGAGCAGGTTAGGGGCTAGGGTTGAGATGGAGCAGGCGAGGGGCTAGGGTTGAGATGGAGCAGGTTAGGGGCTAGGGTTGAGATGGAGCAGGCGAGGGGCTAGGGTTGAGATGGAGCAGGTTAGGGGCTAGGGTTGAGATGGAGCAGGTCAGGGGCGAGGGTTGAGATGGAGCAGGCTAGGGGCTAGAGTTGATATGGAGCAGGCGAGGGGCTAGAGTTGATATGGAGCAGGCGAGGGGCTAGGGTTGAGATGGAGCAGGTTAGGGGCTAGGGTTGAGATGGAGCAGGTTAGGGGCTAGGGTTGAGGTGGAGCAGGGTTGAGGTGGAGCAGGCTAGGGGCTAGGGTTGAGATGGAGCAGCTTAGGGGCTAGGGTTGAGATGGAGCAGGCTAGGGGCTAGGGTTGAGGTAGAGCAGGGTTGAGGTGGAGCAGGTTACGGGCTAGGGTTAAGGTGGAGCAGGGTTGAGGTGGAGCAGGGTAGGGGCTAGGGTTGAGGTGGAGCAGGGTTGAGGTGGAGCAGGTTAGGGGCTAGGGTTAAGGTGGAGCAGGGTTGAGGTGGAGCAGGTTAGGGGCTAGGGTTAAGGTGGAGCAGGGTTGAGGTGGAGAAGGTTAGGGGCTAGGGTTGATGTGGAGCAGGTTAGGGGCTAGGGTTAAGGTGGAGCAGGGTAGGGGCTAGGGTTGAGGTGGAGCAGGGTTGAGGTGGAGCAGGTTAGGGGCTAGGGTTAAGGTGGAGCAGGGTTGAGGTGGAGCAATTTGGGGGCTAGGGTTGAGGTGGAGCAGGGTTGAGGTGGAGCAGGGTTGAGGGTTGAGTCGTCGTCTTATCCCACGCCGTGGGGTTGCCCCCCGGCCGCAGCGCTCACCGATGAGGCGTGCGCACGGCTTCTCGGCGGTCACCGGGCAGCGGCACACGGGGCAGTGGGGGCTCGTGCGCAGCCACAGTTCGATGCACGCGGCGCAGAACACGTGCAGGTTCGGGCAGCACATGGGCTCCTGAACCTGCGGAGTCGGGGAGAGGAGAGGGTCAGGAACACCGCCCGATTCGCGCGGCCAAGATGCTGGCAGGAGCGTGACAAATATCCAGGGAGACTTCTTCTCTCTGCACGGTCGGGGTGGGGAACCTTTGCATCGATGAGGCACAATCGAGACTTTCTCATCACCGTCCCTCAACATAAAATATAGATCCAAGTACAATTGTTCACATTCCATCAGCCACACGGCCTTCTGGCAGTGCGTCATTTCAGCAGCATTGGTTCAACACGAGCACGCCTTGAATCAATTCTGGAGAACTGCCGGCATCTATTACCGCTGTTAATCGCACTGCTGCTCCTGCCAGGCCTTTGCGAGAGGTGAGGGTTTTGCTGTGGTTCTCTCCGTGTCGTGCTGCACGGCAACACAAACCGTTTGACCATACTTCACCACGCAGCCGCAGTGTGGATTGGTGAGTGGGGGCCCAGGACCGGTTCAGATAATACTCGCCACGGAAGTTATCCGTGGCCGAGAATTAAGCTCAGTTTGTGGGTTTCAGAGCGCAGTGAATTAACCACTGCTCCACCCCTTAAACCTTTAACATGCCAGGTGAGTGTCGCGGGATGACAGCAGAAGTTTAGTTTGATGATTGCTAGGAAGGAGTTCCATGATTGTGTGGAGACTGATGAGTGAGTGGAGATTGATGAGTGAGTGGATTTTGACGAGTGGAGACGGATGGTTCGGAATGAGTTTCGTTTGAAAAGAGATGATGATGAGTGGTGTATATAGATCAGCGATGGAGAATGAGTTATTAACAATCGTCGTGGAGTTTGACGAAGATAATGCGTGACGAAGAGGTTGCGGAGTTTCACGAGCGATGAGAACGATGGGTGAGGACTGTGCGTAGTGAAGGGGGTTTGCCGTACGAGTAATTGCTGCGATTGATTCGGAGATTGATTCGTAGTGTGTGTTGGAGAGATTGCGGAGTGAGAATTCGCGCTCGGGGGGGGGGGGGACTGACGAGCGCTGGTGGCGAGGAGTTGATGCGGTGGCGGCAAGCGGCGAGTGTCGTGCAGCAACGAGCAAGATTGTTGATGAGTTCAAGTTCAATTATTAGGTATAGCCATGTGAGCCATTCAGCTCTTGAATCGGGTGCAACCGCAACAAACAAAAAACATGAACAAAAACATCTTAAAGTGAATATGTGACTAAGTGCAAACAGAAAATTCAAGAAAAGACAGCAAAAATATTGCAGAAAAAACACCGTACACCAACGCTGTGTGCAAAAATCTCAGTGGGATGCAAGTCAAACAACAACAACCACAAGACAGCTTAGATTAAGGCCATCAGTCTAACTCTGTACTACAACAAACAAACCTGGCTAAACCAATACACTTTTCGAAATCACCAAAATAAAGCCATGAAAGCAATGAAAAAGCAACCATAGGAACTGTGACGGTGCCTGAGTGTGCGGGCGACATGAGTGGTGGGAGGTGGACCGCTCTCCCCGCAGCCTTCGGCGTTTACCCTGTTGAGGCAGACGTGGCACGACACGGGCAGCGTGAACGAAAGCGACACGCCCCGGGCACACGCGGTGCCAGACGCAGCCGGCGGTTCCAGTAATCCACGTGTCCCGCCGCCGCCGCTGGGCGCCGCCATGTCCGAAGCGACCACGTGTCCAGGAGGCCCCGCCCACCGTTTGGTGACGTCACGCGGCCACGCCCTTTGAACCGGCGCGAGACACCGGAAGAGGCCCGGGGACTCGGAGCGGTGGATGCTCGGGTTGGACTCCGATTGCAACAACAACCACCACCACCACCAAGAAACAACAACAACCACCAACAACCTTCAACAACCACCACCAAGAAACAACAACAACCACCAACAACCTTCAACAACCACCACTACCACCAACAACAACCACCAACAACAACAACAACCTTCAACAACAACCACCATCAACAACAACCACCACCAACAACCTCCAACAACAACAACAACCACCGCGACGAGGCGGAGTGAGAGATGTCAGCGGCGTGATCAGCACGCACGAGGAGGAGGCGGCTTCGTAACGGTGCGAGACGTCCCCCGCCACGTGGACGACTCTCGCGGTCGACTCGAGGCGACTCGAAGTCGCCCCGAAGTCGCTCGCGGCACGCGGACCGAGTCGAGTCGTCCCAGCGGCGACAGAGCGGAGAGAGCGGCGGGATCTGTGGGGGGAGGGTGCCCCCAGCACCGGGGGGAGGGGGGGGGGCTCGCAAGGGGTAAAGGCGACCCCGCAGGGGGCAGGGGGTGAGGGGGGGCAGGGGGTGAGGGGGGCGAGGGGGCCCGCAGGGGGCAGGGGGGCGAGGGGGGTGAGGCCGCCATGGGCTTGCTGGACAAGCTGCGCAAGGAATGGTTCCTCATCGGCATCGTCGCGGCCATCGGCCTGGCGCGGATGGAACCCAGCATCGGCGTCAAGGGCGGTGAGTGGTGTGGGGGGGGTCTGATGGGGGTGGGGGTCTGATGGGGGTGGGGGGGGTCTGACGAGGGAGGGGGTCTGACGCGGGGGGGGGGGGGGGGGGTCAGCGTGACCCCTTGGGAACGGGGTCCGCGCGGGTCCCACCACAGCAGGTGCCGCGGGGTCGGTGGGAAGACCGGGAGTGGAGTTCGATGGGGGGGGTCCGGAGTGGAGTTGGGGGGGGGGGTCCGGAGTGGAGTTGGGTGGGAGGGGGTGTACGGAGTGGAGTTGGGGGGGGTCCGGAGTGGAGTTGGGTGGGAGGGGGTGTACGGAGTGGAGTTGGGGGGGGTCCGGAGTGGAGTTTGGGAGGGGGGTGTACGGAGTGGAGCGCGACACGTGGCACCCCCTGACGCGCCCGGTGTCCGCCTCCACGTGTCGCGCCTCGCAGCCCCCACCCCACCCACCCACCGACCCCCGCGTGTGTCACGACGCGTGCGCGCTGTGGGGGGGGGGGGGGTCTGCACGGCCGCCTGTGCGGCACCTACAAGCAGACAGACAACGACAAGACAACGAGAGGATTGATGTCTCGGGTCTCGGGTGGTCGAGACTAATGACGGAGGGCGAAGCCCCATGGAGGGGGGGGGGTGACGGAGCGCTCGCTTTGGTGACGGGCATCGTCGCTGCGTCCCAGCACCGTGAGAGATGTCGAGGGAGGATTCCATGCAGCAGTGGATAGGTCGTGGCTGCTGTTGCCGATGTGATGGCCGGTATTTAACAACAACAAACTATTGACGATCGTTCTATGGGTATGAATCGTCCTTAAAACCACCGGTCCACAAGTTTCAGATGACACTGTTGTAAGCAGGCGATAAACTCGGGGATGAGTTTCCTCGGCTCGAGTGGCCGAGGGAATTCGTCTGCCAGTAGGGGGGAGGCGATGATTACTGGCTCGAATCCCAGTCGAGTGATTTGCGGCATTAATTTTGGAATTTTGGCAGATTCGGACCCAGGCGCTGGCACGCGGTGGCCTCCTCTTGCGACTGGCGTCACGGGGTCTCTCGCGCCCACCGTGAAGCAGGCGACGCGTAGTGGATTTCTTTTAGGGTTGATGCACACAGCGCAGTATTTACCGGGACGGCCGCTGGAATGGAACCGTGAACCTTTGCAACAAGCGGCGAACGCACCACCGCTAGGCTATCACCCGGGACCTGGGATATCAAGCGGATGGGGGGGTTCCCGGGGGGGGGGTCCACGGAGGGGGGGTCCCCGGGGGGGGGGGGGGAATCCCCGGGGGGGGGGGGGGGGGAGTCCACGGGCGGGGGGGGGGTCCACCATTTAATTATTTGCAACCGGGCCTTTTCAACTCGCGCTTTGCTGCCCATGCCGCACACACCGCTCGTGCTGCCCCTGCCGCTCTTCCCGTGCCGCGTGCACCGCGCGTGCCGCTGCCGTGACACTGGCACCCATGCTCGTTCCCAGGGCCCCTGAAGCCGGAGGTGACCATCACCTACGTCGCCGTCTCGGCCATCTTCTTCAACAGCGGCCTCTCGCTCAAGACGGAGGTACGGCGAGGAGGGTGGTGGGGGGCTGGCGGCGTCTCCTTGCCGCGTCTCCCCCCTGGGGCGCAGGCTCTCCCTGGCGACAGGGCCACCGGCTCTCACGCTGTGTGTGTGTGACGGTGCTGGTAACGAGCTTATGTTTGTGTGTGACGGTACGTGTCAGATGGAACTGCGTGTGTCTGACGGTACTGTGTGTGTGTGTGAGATGGTGCTGTGTGTGTGTGATGGTACGTGTCAGATGGAACTGCGTGTGTCTGACGGTACTGTGTGTGTCTGACGGTACTGTGTGTGTCTGACGGTACTGTGTGTGTGTGACCTCTGCGTGTGTGAGACGGTGCTGTGTGTGTGTGACGGTGCTGTGTGTGTGTATTTGACGGTGCTGGCAACGAGGTTGTGTGTGAGACGGTACGTGTGTGATGGAACTGCGTGTGCGTCACTGTACTGCGTGTTTGGGACGTTGTGGGTGTGACGGTACTGCGTGTGTGTGTGTGACGGTACTATGTGCGTGTGACGGTTCTGTGTGTGTGTGTGAGACGTTACCGCTAGCGATGCTGTGTGTGTGTGGCGCTGGGCGCAGGAGCTGACGAGCGCCCTGCTGCACGTGCGGCTGCACATGCTGGTGCAGGGCTTCACGCTCGGCTTCTTCCCGCTCGCCGTGTGGCTGCTGCTGCGGCTGCTGGCGCTCACGGGACTCAACCCGTGGCTGCTGCAAGGGTGCGCGAGACACCAACGCGCCTTACCCCGCACCGCGCCCGGCGCCGCACTCGCCACACTCGCCCCTAGCGGCAAGAAGCCCCGTGGGTTCGAATCCCGACCCGGGTGCCTCTCCCTGTGGAGTTTGTGCGTTCTCCCCCTGTTGTTGTGCATGGGGTTCCCTCCGGGTTGTCCTGTTTCCTCTCAAAGCTCTAACACACACACAGTGGTGGAGCTGGTATTGGCCACACAACGTCCCAGCTGCTGAACAATTACCTGCAAGCGACTCGATTGAGATCGCACGCATTCGCGACATCGCCGCTTGCTGCGAAAACTCGGCAGGGCCCTCCCGAATGTGAGTCTTGATACTCGGTGGGTACACCAGGATAATAATAATAATGACAACTTCTTGGTTCTTTCGGTAAAGTCACGTAGAATGGAAACAATATAATAATAAAATAAAACATAATAAAATAATTCTCACGACGTTTCGGCCACAGGTGAAGACCAGGTCTGTCTGACCTGGTCTTCACCTTATGACGGCTGCTTGCGTTGTGGCCGAAACGTCGTGAGAATTATTTTATTATGTTTTATTTTATTATTTTTATTGTTTCCATTCTACGTGACTTTACCGAAAGAACCAAGAAGATGAATCCCTGCAGTCACGAAAGCTTTAAATCGAAATAATGACAACATTAATAATAACGCGGTCATATATACTAGACCGGTACACTGCACTACACCATGCCACACTGCACCGTGCCACACTACTTGACACAATGCCCCCCTCCCTCCCTTGTACGACACCCCGCTGGGCCACGCTTTGGTTTACGACACTGCGCCACACTGTCACGCGCACTGCATGGGAGTGCACACCACGCGCTACGCCACCGCACGGCATGAATGTCTTTGTGCACGTGTGTGTTTACGTTTGTCTTTTCATGTAGTGTAGCGGGTTAACGCGCTGCGCTACGAACCCGGCGACCCGAGTTACATTCCCGTTCATGGACAACACCAGTGACGATTATCTGAACCGGTCCTGGGCTTCCCTGAGTACCTGGCCTCAAATGAGTAACCTGGTGCGGTGTGTAAACATCGCCACTGGGGAGGCAAAGGCAGCCGACCGTGGTGTTGGCCAGCCAACCCCTCGTGTGCCGTGCCAGCCTTCACAGGTGCCCCAACAGACTGGTGAGGCCAGTCTTTGTCTTTTTATCTTTGTATGTGTTGATGTATGTGTGTGTGTGTGCGCGTGTGACAGGTTGCAGGTGGTGGCCTGTATGCCCCCGCCGGTCTCCTCCGCTGTCATCCTCACCAAGGCCGTGGGGGGCAATGAGGTGAGTGTGTGGCACCAGGCCCCACGTGTGGACGTTTTCCTCGCCCCACTAAACCATCATCGATTGTTCTGTCGTTATTTTGCATGCGATTTATCGCTCACGGGAGTAAACCAGAAGAATTAGAATCGATGACCTTGGTAATAACGAGCGGAACGACACCAACGAGCACAAACCACCCCCAACTCCAAGAGGGGGGTCGAGTGGCTGTGGAGCAGTAGGAACCGAAGGGTCTTCGTTGCTCGTGAAGCGCGGAGACCTGGGCCACCGGTCCTGCGCCGGGCTCGTGCTGGCAGAGCGAGACTCTGCCGGTGACGTTCTGCGGCTGCCCGGGGCCCGGTGCCAGGGAGCACCATCCATCAGTGTCGGGGCCCACGCGGGGCGGCACCCGCTTAATCCCCTCGCCCGCCGCGCTCCCCGCCACGCGAACTTAACCCCGCGTGGCGGCGCGCGAGCAGTCCGCCCGGGGTCAGCGACGACGCCGCCGCTCCGAGCCGGCGCCGCGTGGCACCCGCGATCGTCTGGCGGAGGTGGCGGCGGGGGAGCACGACGCGAACGCGGCGACCCGCCACGTTCGCGATCGCCGGCGGAGAGAGGGTTAATGCGTTTGGGAGCGCGCGTCGCGCCCGCTCCCCGCTAATTGCCGCTGACGCCCTGCAAATTACGGCGCGCAAACGGCCACCGGCACTCAGCCGCCCGTGCAATGCGAGCGAGTGTGAAGGCGCCCGCGCGTCGTTCATCTCCTCGCCGCGCACCCGTGTCCGATCCCTTCACGCCCCGCCTCCCACGACGATTGGCAGCCGCGAGCGATGGAGCCGGCGGCCAGGGTGGTCTGAATCGAGGAGTTCGGTCCCAGTGCGGGCGCCTGTGTTGGAGTTTGTATGCTGTCCTTCTCCCCCCGTCCTGCACGCGTTTCCTCCGGGTTCTCGGGTTTCTTCCCATAGCTAAACAAACACAAGCCCACGCAGTGTAACCGGTATCCCAGTACCAACACATCACCTGGCAATCACTGATTTGGGATCACGCAGCAGCACCAGCAGCAGCAACACCGCCCCTCTAGCGAAAACTTGGCAGGGCCCTCCCGAAAATGACTCTGTCCTGCCATAAGCATAATAATATAAATAATAGCTGCTCAGACTGTGTGGGGGCCTGGTCTTGGTTTGACCCTTAAGAGTACTCCCTGATGGCTCGGGCCGAGCTTGGTGCCACCGTCGAAGGTCCGAGGTTGCCGTGGGGGTGCGAGGTGCCCGCTAACGAGCGGTCGCGACTTGTTGCTGCTGGTGCTGCCGTGCGTGTTGATGGCCTCGCTGCCCGTGCTCATTCCCCGCTCCTTCTCTCCGCAGGCTGCGGCGATTTTCAACTCGGCGTTTGGGAGTTTCCTGGTGAGAGAAGCGTGCGCACACATGGGCATTCATCCGTCATCGGCCACACACTCTCTGCAAACACAAAGACGACAATACCCCGTATAGCCTTAACAGTCTGCTGGGGCAAGTGCTATTAGTGGGTGCCTATGCAGGCTGGCATGGCATATGAGGGGGTGGGTAGCCAGCACCACGCCCGGCCGCCTTCGTCTCCCCAGTGGCGATGTTTACACACCACACCAAGTACTCATTTGAGGCTGAGTCGACCTAGGGGAGGCCCACGACCGGTTCAGATAATCGCCACCGGTGTTGGCCGTGAGCGGGAATCGAACTCGGGTCGCCGGGTTCGCAGCGCAGCACGCTAACCGCTACACCACCGTTCCCCACACACAGGAACACACACACTCGGTTAGACTCCCACAGAATCGCACGAGCGTTACTTGCACCTCGCTCTCTGCCCGCCCCCCCACGATAGTTGGGAGGGGGGCGGGGGGGGGGGTCGTCGTGAAACCCCTGCGAGGCCCGACAAGGGGGGCGGGGTGCTGGTGGGAAGAGACCAACTCGGATCCCATTACCGCGCCCCCCCCCCAATCCCCGTGCCCCTTGCCCCCCCTCGCCGTGTAATTGCGTTAAGCTGCTTTTACCCACGGCGCCGCGCCAGGGTTCAGCCCCCGCTCGCCGCGGGCCCCCCGCGCCGCGCCGCCGCATTAGTCACGAGCGTCTGCGAGGACGAGCGCTCGGGCCGGCTGAGTCACTGCTTCCCGGTGAGATGGGGGGGCCTCCCCGGGGGGGGCGGGGGGTGGGGGCACGTCGTGGGGGATTGGCGGCGTGTGGTAAGGATGGGGGGGGTGGGCAGGAGAAAGAGAGCGAGAGAGAGGTGCGCCGGCCCACGGCGAGCTGATATGAACGGCGATTCGAGAAAGAACGGTGATCCATCCGCAAACTCTGGCGAGCGGCTCTTACCTCGTAGCTACCGCCCTCCTGGGCTCTGTGTGTCCTGGACTGTGCCACGGGAGCACGGAGCTTCGTCCATGAGATTGTTTACTTTGTGTAATTAACCATCGATGGACGTAACACATCGGAACCAAACCAATACGTGATTTGAAACGTGTGAACACCAGCCACGGGCTCCCAATCCCCCAGCAGTAACGTGTGTGCGTTGTCTTGAAAAAAACATCCGTAGGTAAAGAGGTGGTGGGTTTGGAGGATCTGAGATTTCAGGCATTCATCCAGCAGCGGATTCACCTTGGATGATGATGATGAGTGGCGATGATGCGATTATTAAAATGTCAGAAGAATATGAAGTGGGGGACGGTGGATGTGAAGTCGACATGGATTAATCTCCGGGCTGCCTACGCGGGGACGCGGTTGGGCGCTCGGCGCGCCGTCGGGCGCTGTCGACGCGCCGCCTGCGAGCCACGTGGTGGTCGTGCCGGGGGGGGGGGGGGG